CAAAAAATGCAAAAAGAGTGCGTGGAAAAAAGTTTGGGACTCAAATAGCATTTATTTAATGTAAAAGAAAACCCACAAAATGATTTCAAAAATAGGATAAATTAGTCCTGTTAGCAATGACTGCTTTAGGAATGATAATGGGAAAAAGCATGATATTCTGACTGATCTACATGTCAAATTACCAAATAACTGTTATTTTGCATGGGGTGACAGGAAGAATGAATTCTCTGGATAGTGTAAAGTGAAGAATTAATTCTGAATTATGTACAAAGTCTTTCTAGTGGCTGAGACATGGCCTTCCTATTTTGTTGCTTTTCTCTTCTGTGCATATGGTTTCTTTACAGTACTGCCAAAATATCCCTGTTGCTCAGCAACAGCAAGCTGATATAGGACCAGTCGAAGGAAATCTAATTTACACTGTTTGTAAAGTGTGTACTCTTACCCAAGTGCAGATTTTGACATGAGATTGAAAGCTACCCTTTGCCTTCAGCCTCTTTCATTAGCTGCCTCTCTGGGGCACGCGTGGTCCTGGATAGGGAGACGTCAGGTCAGACACCAAAAGCTATCCTTTCCCGTCACAGTTTGACGAATGGAGACATGCATTCTCTGGGCAGAATCTGACCTTGTCTAACCCAGTCTGGGGACCCATCTAGCATCTGCTCTAGGAATGAGTCCTTATCTGGTTTCGAGGAGGTTTCAGCCCCAACTGTAGCTCTGCAGGCACAACACTGTGCCTTCGACTGATTGTGCCTCCTGTACAGAAGCAGACTTTGCACTTGTACATTTAATAAGTTATTGATGCCCTAAGTACAAAAAGCAGAAGCTAGAAGTTTCCCAAATATCCCCTATACACTGATTTTATAATTTTCTTTTCCAATGTCTCCTAGACTAATTATTTAAGAGATGACATGTCTTTGGAAGAGCTTAGTGATGATAAATAGAGGAAAACTTATACCAGTCTCAGAAAAGTATGAACATTTGTTTTAAAAATTACCTCCACACAATATTATATAGCTATTTACCAAGTAAAACACAGCAAATGGTACATTTTTACAACTGATTTCTTTAGTGTCAGTCATACAGAAATACTGTCAAACATCTGAAAACCTAACACATCATCAGAAAATACTGCCAGCAGTTGATCTCAAATATTTTTGACTCACATATTTTTGGTGTTCGTAAAAAGACATGGGGTTTTTTTCCCCCCATCTTCAAAAATCAGCAGTAGCACTATTCACAGGCTGGGACCATTTTGTTGCTTGATATTTGTGGTCTGAGGGGGACGACGTGAGGAGAGGGGTCAAGAAGATCAGCTCAAATTAGTTCTACTTGTGCACCGACTGAACTGAGCCATTTTATTGCATAGGAAGGGGACAGTGATGACTTTGCTGCTGTTCTCTCCTTTGCTAACCCACGACCAAGTTCAAGTATTAAGAAAAATCATGAGATTAGCATAAAATAATAAATTTTTTTTTAAGAAAAAGATTGTTTTCACTGGCATTTGCTTGGGTTTATGACTTTTCTCTGCAACTGGGTAGGCCCAAAACATTTTTTTCATTAAATGTTAGAGCCTAGTGCAAACTAAAATATCCAAAAGTTGGGGCTGACAGACACTCCCTTCCTGCCATTATTGTAATTTTTAACCACAAGTCTTGCAAGCATTAGTGATGCTGCCTTCAGTTTATCTGTGTCCATCTCGTCTGTGATGACTGCTAACGTGCATCTCTCTCCACTGGGCTTGAGAGATCCTCCAGGGAGAATTCTTCACCACCTATTTTCTACTTAGCAAAGAGTACTCTTTACTCCACTTCTCTGCTACTATGAAGCTCTCTAAGACGTATCCTATTGCTGTCATAAGCTGGTTTTAGCTGTTAATTAGGAGTCCCATCAGATGCTGAGAGATGCTCTGCTCTTTATTGCTTTACGTCTGATTGTTGTGACTTGGATTTCATAAACAGATTTTTCTTTTCAACTTCTAAATCATTTCCCTGCTGCTTAAATTTCAAGTGTCTTTTCAGGCATATGTGCTTTTAAACCATTACAGATTTGTCTTGGGAAAGGTCCTTCCAGCACAGCACAGTCCTATCTAATCAGGGTAAAACAAACAAATGCAGTGGAAAAAGTCTCTCCACTCAGAAGGTGGCAATGTATTTTGGTCTTTTGACTTTGTAGCACATAAATAACATTTTTTGGGGAAACACCTTGTACTCTTGCCTTAAAATCTGCCAAATATCTCTCTTGTTGGGTCTTTATACCTCACAGCAAGACCTCTGATGTTTCTTCATCTTCAGATAATAAACTCGGTTGGCTTCTGGATAGGTAACTTTGGAGAGTGGCAGCTTGTAGATGGCAGAGTTGTTTGTGGTTATTAACAGGAAGGTCAGCGCAGAAAAACAAAAAGACCAGGTTCCTGATGGCACCCCAAACTGCAAAAACCAAAAAACCCAAAACAAAACAAACCACCCAGTTACTATGTGTCTTTTTTCATTTTATCCCCCAGCCCTTGAACAAAACTCAGAGCCAGACAACTTGGAACAAGCTTTCTCAAGGAAGTCTTGACTTGGCTTTGCATGGAGGCTTTCTCAGAGGAGGTAGGATTTCTTTATGAGATATTGATATTATGCATTAACCAGCAACATCTGTCAGCTGTGGTGAGAAGGCTGTCTTCTCTTTGTGCATCTGCAGTAGTCTTGGATGGAAATGAGACAGGAGGGGATATCAGAAGCATTCAGCTTTTCCCTGGGCTGTTGTGCTGACTGTCTTTTGGCACTTGCGCAAAGCAATTAAACCAAATTTGAGGTTTCTTTACATGTGGGCATGGCCCTTTTCTCAATTGCTTCAGGCATAAAGTATAGACATATAATTATCTCAGAGATGTTGAGGACTGAGCTGTGGAAGTTCATGCAAGCTCTGAGGATGAAAAGCAATGATGGTTGTAAGTGATCTGTTTCAGTGGGAACCACACCAAACCCCTGGGCAGATTGTGTCCCCTCTCCCAGACCAGTTCTGCCTTTGGCTGAATTGTTCTCTGAGTCTTGGTGTTTTGCCTCACAAGCCATGAAAATATACAGTGTTCAAATCTGTCTTTAGAAAAAAGACATTAGCTACTTACCACAGACAACATGTTAGTCACTGTTGCTCCCAGGTAGGCACTGAAGAGTGCTGTGAAAAAGAAAGGTAGTTCCTGATGAGTTCAGTTGCTCATGGAGGAGACCAGCCAGGGCAAACATCTCTCACACTGCCTTGAGTAGCTCAACCAATGTTTGACCATGCCTGGACAGCCTCCCTCTTAAAGTTCATTCCTTTGCAGTCTCCCCTCCTCTAACCTGGAGCTCTTGGAAAGAGCAAAGCAAAAAAAGAATTGGAGTGATGAAAAATGTGACTATGGAAACAGGCTTTTCAAAAATGCACTGACATGGAATGTATGTTTGATGGATGGAGTTAAATAGGAAAATAACCCTTCCGCCCCATGTCTCCTGCCTCTAGGGCTAGAAGGTGGGTCAATGAACTAAATCTTTATATGGACACTGAATGAGCAATAGTTTCACTCCCAGCTCACTGTGATATTGAAATTTCACATGGAATTGCCTTATAAATAATTCTCTAATCATTCTTGTGTTGCCTAGCTCATGCCTTTGGTATCTATAACAATAGACTGGGGAAACTGCACTGTCCAACTCCAGGTGTAGACTAATCTTGAGCTCCAGTTTTCTCAAATTTTGGATATGTCCTACTCCAAAGAAAGAATCTGAGCTGGTATCGATGACTGGAAAAAACAATATGATTCATCAAGCAATGTTGAACAAGCGCAATTAATGCCTCAAAACTAAGCATCTGATTTCAAAGACCTTAGTTAATCAGCGATCACTGATCACATCTTTTCTTTTGAACACAACTCTTGTATGAAAGCGAAAGCACTGCTTTTATTTTGTCAGGGTATGTTAGAGTAATGGCTCTAACATTCGGCTCCATCATTAGTCAGTCTCACCTAAGTCCATCTGCCTGGCTAGAGGTTGCCATCTGGCTTCAGCCCACCTCCAGTATAAACGTAACTCGTCTCACTTCAAAAGGAAATGTGGCAGAAGTGAAAATCCATAGGGTACATACCACAGGCAATTGCCAGCAAATGTGTCTGCCAGGTGAAAGCGTAGAACATGCCTCCAATGGCAATGCACGAGAGGGAGCTGTTGTAGCCCCACAAGCCAGAGTAGATTTTACTAAAAGGTGTTGCTAAGCTCAGTGCTGCAAAATAAGGCAAAGATGTGTCATTCCTTGGCTAAAGAGATAAGAGCAGCTAAGAAGTGGCATGAAGTCAATTTTTTAGGGCTCTGGCTTGCATAAGTACATCAAGTTCCTATTTGTAGTGTTGCTGTGGTCTAGGACTAAATCCACTTTAATGCAATCATGGCAGAATTTCCCTAGTGCTGCTGAGTTGAATTTGACCATGCGATTTCAGCAGAAGATATATGAGTAAACAAGTGCACATGTGAACTCTAAATGCATCCCCGAGGTCTGCACATTCAGACTGATGGTTATGGCTTTTATTAAGCTGCTCCTAAAACCACTAGAATATATTCAGAAAAGAAGTATTTCATGATAAAAATTCATTTCAGTCAAAAATATACTTCTTTTTTCTGAAGATTTCCACCATCGTAAAATGAGGTAAGAGCATGGGGAAGTCAATCAAAAGAATTCTTAAAACCGAAGTGCATATATATTTTTTCTTCCAAGCAGTCATTCTCCAATGGAAGAAATATTTGTGACTGTAAATGCTCCACTCATTGCAGTTCCTCTTTTATTCTCCATGCTTTTATATAAATCTGTGACACAAGTCAAATCCTTACCTGCCAGCATCCCCACTGCTGATCCAATTGCTGCATGCAGACAAATGACCGGAGAAGAGATAAATAAAGCAATAAGGAAAATTCCCCCAGTCCAGGGGTTATCACAGCCATAAACCTGACCCACTCCGACTGGAATGGATTGCAGGAGCTATAGGATTAAAAAAAAAAAAAGACAATTTGTTATTGGCTTTGTAATTTCTTTTTTTTTTTAAACCTATTTTTCCTGGCCAGATTTGTCTTTGGCATTTGTTGGGTGCAGTCTCTCTTTCTGGACTGTAAGTGGAAAGTTTGAACACTTTGTGGGAGACAGAAGGGCATTTCCACAGGGTTTCCTCTTTGCTGAAAATGAATCATGCCCTAGCCATGAGCTCCTCTGCCAGGTTTTTGCTCTAATACCAAAGTTAAATGTCTTTCGTGAAAGGGTTTGCTCGTCATCTTTACATGTACTGCTCACTTGGCCATTTTTGCAGGCTGTTATGGATCATGACAGTGAATCTAGTAAATGGAAATGCTCAGGTAGATTATTCTTTTGAGAAGACATGAGTGGGCAGATCCAGGGATGAAATGTCTGATAATGGCTTGGCTAGAATACAAGACTTTACTCAGGTAAGGCTGTATCCCTGATCTACTTATATACCTGAAACTCCCTTGTGATTCATGGGAAATATGAATGAGAGTTGCTGGGTTGGTGGGACAGAGCCCAACTTGGCCATAGCTTAGAGATGGTTTCAAGACACTTCTCAAAATGGTGCGTTCCTCTGTGTGGAACAGTTCATTTATGGTCCCCATAAAACTATGCACCATGGTAAACATTCTTTAAGAGATGTCACTTGTGTGGATTGCTATTTAGTGTCAGTTAACTTCCTTTTCTTAATCACTCCCTGGGAATCCCTCAAAATAGTCCACTGAGCCAGTATCTATATTGTTTACGGTGCTATACAGGAGAAGAAAATGTTTCTTTGGAGAGGTTCCACTTGAATATTAAGTAAAAATATGCAAACATGTGCCTGCACCCAAGTTTGTAACCATTCTTCCATTGTAATATCTGTTTGCTCATTTCTAATTACAAAGATGCAATTTTAAAAACACTGTGCATGGAAAACTAAAATTAACCTGTGAGTCAACTGGTAGTGTCAGCGCAGCCTTAGCTATGGAGCACTGATCATCATAGGCACAGTAATGAGTAATTAGATTCTAGAGACTCTCTGAAGATTATAATATATACATTTAGATCCAACTGCAAGCAAAAGATAACAAAAAGATTCTCATTTTCAAGCCATTCAAAAATGTCAGTTACTAGAGTGATCCTTTATGTTTTGGAAAATAGCTATTTTATAAATGTGATTTTGTATTGTCAGGTCATAATGCAGTAACATAAAGGAAGATGATATGATTCTATATTGATTTTTTTTTGTAAATGCACAAGGCAGTTATCTTTAAGGCATCCTACCAATGGCATTTCAGCATCTGTCCAGGTGATGTTTGGTGTTGCTGTTGCAAGCTGGATGACAGTTGTTGGGAAGAAGAAGTTATGTGATCCTGTTGCAGCCAGGTAGAGGGTCAAGGCCAAGTTGAAAGGCAAGGTGAAAACAGGCAGATCCCACTTACAGAAGACTGAGCCTAAAGCGCTGGTGAAAACAGGACTGAAAGAAGAACAAAATGGTCTCACTAGGAGCTTGTCAGGTAGGCAAAAAAACCCCAACCAAACAAAAAAAACCCCCAAAAAACAAAAAACCCCAACTGCAAGAATTTCACTCTACCTTCTAAAAAAAAAATTAAAAAAATCTGTTTTAGTTCCTCAGTCTTTCTGATAAAATCAGAGATATGCTAGAGTCACTCAGAAAATTTCCTACCCTTCCCAGGGCAGTTAGAAATGTACAGATTCCTGGTGGGTTATGCAATTATGCAATATGGTATGTAATGAATTTGGTGACCATGAAGGAGACAAGATCCTTTGCTCGCGTGGAAGATCCAATGATTTAATTTTAAATTAATTTTAATTCCCCAGCTCAGTCTCAGTGTTCACTTTTGTTTTGGTTTGGTTTTTTTTAGTATTTGAGGTGGACTGAATTTAGGACTCTTGTGCCAGGTCTGAGTGAAGGTGGCTGTGCGTTCTTGTTCAAGCTTCAGAAGTAAAGGCTGACATCAAAGTTGTGTTTATTAAAGTGAGTATAACACTACATGAACTTCAGGCAGACAGGTGATATATGTGGTTTTAGCAGTCTCCAACTAGACATTTGGGGACCAAAGACCAGCTTTCAAAATTTTCGCTGTCCAAATACCTAGCAGATTAGGTGTCATACATATGAGTAAAGTATTATTAGTTGTTTGTTTTCATTAGCATCAACCATCATGTCTTGGGACCACTGAACAGCTTTTGTGTCTGGAGAAGTAAATTTTTATGACATTTTTATATGTTGGCTTGAATAGATGAAACACTTATGGTTGATGGTGGTAGGGAATGGTGAAAATAATCTTCCTCTTGAAACAAAAATGGATTGACTCATCACAGCAATATGGCTCACGTTTAGGGCATTTAGTTACACATGATCAACCATTGATTTTTGTTTTCCCTATTGGGTTTGTTTGTGATATGCAGGCATTTTATTTGTTTCCAAATTACATTAAAGTTTAAAAGTGCAAATAATGATACAGATTTAGTAGCACATATGTGCCAGTTGTGTTTCTTTTCCATTGCAGTCTGCATAGTGCATAAAAATACAACAGCTCAGTCTCAGTGTGGGATCACTGGGACTGGAATAACAAGCAGAGGAGCCATCCAACTTACCATGTCGTGGACACCAGTGCTACCGGCAGTAGAAGCCACCAGTGGTAGTCTCCCTTAGCAGAGAAGATGGCCATGAGCAATCCCACCAACACCCCGTTGTAGCCATACAGACCTGCTGCTATGGCTGATCTGTGTGAAGGAAATATCTTGAAATCTTCTCCCCTGAGGGTGTTTTGATCACATCACCCCTCCCTCCCCATGCAGTTGTGACTCTGTGTGATGATGACCTGCAAGGCTCATGCACCGACCTTCAGTTTCTCACGCTTGAGTCCCATGTTTTCTCAGCAACTACCCCTTTTGCAGTTATGTCCAGCGCACCTTTGCACCAGATGCAGCTGGTGGGAAGATCTGTCTGGTCCTACCAGACCAGATACATAGCCAGTGATGGCTAGATCCACGCTTTCCATCCATGTCATTTGTTTAACACATAAGTTAGCACTGATGTGACAGTCTGGTTTTGAAGGGGAAAAGGATGGGCTTACCTGTCCTGACCCAAAATAAGTGCTGTTAAAGTTGAGACAACTGTTCCTAAACAGCCGGTGAGTGTCCACCATGGGTTCTGCACCAGGAAGCCACCAACCACCATCAGCCCACTGAGGGGATTGTTGACAAACATCACCTGGGATATCCCACGCAGCACCCAGTCAATAAACTGGATCACGAGAGGTTTATCTGGAAGAGATGAAATTAAATAATAAAAAAAACCCCAATATGCAGATGATCGTGATTTGGGATGGATTGTTTGAAACTCGGGAAGAGTTTTGGCAATGCAACTTGGCAGCACAACTGAAGCAATGAATCAACAAGACTGTAAAATCTGACTGGGATTTATTATGGTCTATACTGAAGTCTTACAGCTGGAAAACTGAGATGAACAGTGTGGTTGCCAGAGTCCCGTGTCATAAAGTACCCTGGACCAGATTCATATGAAACAGCTAATTTATGGTGTCTGTGCGTCAGATGGCAATTTGTGTTTGTATCCCGTTGCTGATTTTTTATGGGGACCAAACACACCTACCTATGTGTAATTTAACTTCACAGTGGCATTAGGCTTGACAGAAACTGCTCAGCTGAAAGGACAGGGAGCATTATGAAGAATGACAGAGCACAGAACAACCATCCCAGGCTATGTTCTGTGGGACTTTGTACATGATGTGTTGGGAGGTAAATGTCATCTCAGTCATCCTCAAGATTTAAGCAGTGTGTGGAACTCTGCACAAAGCTGATTTTTCCCCCTACAAAACAGAAATAAATCAGGGCAGAGGTAGTTTCTGCACTACTCTAACTTGAATCACATAACTGAGAAGTTAGTTATTACTCATTTGATGTAATTCTTCTTTGGAACCCCTTAATTAGTCATCATGAAGTAGCTTTACCTTTTAGCCAGGCTCCAAATTCCTTCATGTCTCCCGTGATGTACCCAACAGCTCTGCAGACTTTCTTCCCAGCTTTGTTCAGCGGATTTTGCTTTATTGGCTTTCTTTCCCCCTTGCTTTGTATCATGGCATCAACACTCTTTTCCATGTTGATGTTCTGACCCTTTGGTAAAATTCAAGGGGAAAAAAAGAAGACAGTTCATTACAATGCCTCTGATTTACCTGATTTTAACCTTTTGCTCAGCTATACCATGTTTTCTACAAATCAAGCAGCTCTTGTTTTAAATTATGACTTCAAGAAGAGCAAGATGACATTGGAGAATACTGGCTTCACAGAAGTTGCAGCTTACCTCAAGATTCAACTTCATATAGATCCATCACATCTAGGAAGCTGCTTCAATGATTAAGTTTTCTCTGCTGCTTAACCCATATTTCCAGTTTGAATTTATTCATCAGCCATCAATAATAGTTACCTAAAGTCAGGTTTATAGGTCTCTATATTGTCACCTGTTGGGATCAGTTCAACTTTTCTCATGAGCATGGACTTAACTTGAGAGTTGTTTATGGTGCCTTATTCCATTACTCACATGCATAAATACATTTTTTTTTCTCTATTGAATTTTATTTTTAGCTGCCCCATCTTCAGAAGTACTCAGCACCAATTTAAGAGGTTAAAGGCCAAATTCACGTGCTTGCTTTACATTCTGCCTCAGTGATGCTGCTGCCTTCTCTCTGGCAGTTGCCCAGTAGGGTGTTATGAGGTCTGCGCTGGCCTTTGTTCTTCAGCAGAAGACAAGATAGGTGACCACATATTGGGACCTGTAGTAAGAGACTCTCAGGGACTAATGTAAAGACTCATTAAATTTAGCAGGCACTATATCAAGACTTAAATAAGGTAGGTGAGGATTATAGGCCAAACAGAGGTGTTTAGACTTGAATAAGGTGTTTGGGGCATCCACACAGGGCTGACAGAGATGGGGCCCCCTATGGGAGACATGACCTTTGGACTAGGAGCTGCTGGAATACTTCCTAGAATCCTGGTCTCCGGACCAGAGACTAACACCTAACGGTAACACTGACTTTTAAAAGCAATGTCCTATAGTCAATTTGTTATTTGTCTGAGGGCCAGCTCTCAATATGAAGTCAGCAAATTAAAAGCAACCAAACCTTTCCCTGGAGTGTACTCAGTTTTCTGAAGAGTAAGGCTAATTTTTAGTAATTGTCAAGACAAAGACAACACAAGACAAGGTACATTGCTGAATGAATACAGAACCAGAGCTGCCACAGGTCTCACTGGTGAGTTGCCACTTGTGCAAAAAGTATAGAATTTAGGTTGCAAAGATACAAAAGGATAGGTTCCACATGAAGACAGGACCAGTACGTAGAAGAGTGTTGAATTTGACTTTGCGTAGGACACGGAGGCAAGGAGCTTAGCTAGAGGAGGAAGAAAAGAAAAGAAAAAGATGAGTGTGTTGCTAGGGATGGTGCCTTGGTGCTGGAAGGCTTTTTCCTGGCTCAGTTATAATTCATTACCTTGATTCATTAACCTTCACTTTTATCATATTTTATTCTGAAATAATAGAATAAGTGAATTGGATGCACTTTAAGTTAAATCAAAATTTCCAGCAAAGATAAATGCTCTTCATTCAGTGAAAGTGCATTTACATTTTCAATTTAAAGAATCTTCCTCTTCATGTAACTTAGGCTTTCTCTGTTGCTAATCCATAAAGTCAAGGGCTGTTGAATTTGCATTTGCAGAATGATGGTGTGTGTCCCGTGCCTGATATGTTTCCCTGCATGCTGAGTGAAGAGCTGTTTGCACCACAGGAGTCTTGGAGATGTTCTGCAGCGTGGGATGTAATGTGCATGTGAAGTGTCAGAGTCACTGTCTGGCCTACTCACATGGTGGAGAAGAAAATGGGTCCAGTCAGAAGCCCTAATTCATCAAAAAGGGGGTTGGACCAGATGATCTTTAAGGTCCCTTCCAGCCCAAACTGTTCCGTGATTCTGTGTGAAACCTTTTATCTGCTCTTGAGGCTGTTTGGCAGTGCTCCTGGCACAGCAGCTGTGTGAGGCAGTGCTGCACTGTGCAAGTCTGAGACTGGAGAACTACTTTGCTCTGGGTTTTTGTGGGCAGAAATGAAGTCAGCTTGATGCACTTGGCACAGCGAAAAGACCAGGTGATCAAGTGAGTCAATTCCACCAACCTGCCTTGAACTTCACCCCCAATGAAGACTGTGTCAATGCCCCGCATATCTATTCTTCTAGAATATTCGAAATCACAATGATTAAGGGTTGATCATAGGTACCTTCTGGCCAGCAGCACTAGTCAAACTCATGTTCATTATTTCCCTGTCCCTCTAGAGAGGGATCACATGAACTTTGATTCATTTTTTCCTATCAGCTTATATATGCTAAAGGAGAAGGAAATAATTACAAAACATCTGGTATGCAATGGGTGGGCTGAGCGCCCTTGGTTTCAGGTGGGGTCTTCACGATGCTGTAGACCCAGATCCAGCCCCATTGGCTTCACTGCCACCCCAAATCACGTCCCAAGCACTGTGTGAGGGCTGCCTCCTGTGTGCAGTGGTTTGGTCATCACCACAGCCATGGAGCTTGTCCCATCTGTCCAGAAACACAAAGCATGGAGGACTTCTAGCACTTCTACTAAGTTGTCCAAAGAAAGTATTAAAAAAGTAGTGAACAACTACTGGCATCAGCATAGAATTTTTTTGGGTGTTTTTAATAATTTTTGGCATTATCAGAAGCAGTAGCTGCCATATATGCTCAGATTAATGATCTGCTAACAGATTACCTTGTTGCAGGGAGTAGGTGATAGCAGCTATTTAAGAAAGGACAGAAGACAGTGTCTCATCCCAGAATAATGGAGATGCTCAGGGAATTTTAAGACAACGACATTGGATTTTAATTCAGTCTGAAGTGTGCATGTTCTGATAGGGACTGCATGAAGAACCACTCTACAGCAGGTCTTTTGAAGACCTGCTATTGAAGTTAATGTGTTTTTTTCTCAAAATGGACTTTTTTCTTTAGTGCATGAAGGAGGAAAATGGAAATCATTGTGAAAGAACTATTCTGCTGGAATAAACTGCTTGACTTCTGCAGGGGGGAAGGATTTTAAAAAAAAATCCTTATTTCTATTAGTCTGGGAATTTTTTTTTAATTTCATGTGTTTGCTGCCTCCCCTTGCCTAGATATCTTTGTGCTGGTGGATAATATCTCTCTGCCATCCTTGTTAAGAATGCTCACAGAAGCAAGAAGGAAAGTTTTGCAGCTAAAAGTATCTAAATACTTTTGTACCAGCTATGAAATGGAACCTGTATGAATAGAAAAAAAAAAAGTTTCTCTTGCATGAAAATTAAATCATCACAGGGTCAAGAAGCTAATCTATTGAATTTTTTATCATCTTTTCAGAGTTAATAAATGTGCTGTAGCAAAGTACTGATGTTATGCAACTCCGTGGCTCCCTAAATCAATTTCTCTTCCACTTGTGTACGCTTTTTTCCATGTCATGCCATACCCATGGCATCTCGGTAGTGCCTCGCTGACTCTGTGCACTCCTGCAACATCTGGCCTACAAATATATTTTTATTCCCATGCTGAGATGGATGCAAGCCCAGACACATGTGCATTATGTGTTGTGCACAGTAGGAGTGGTGCTGTGGTGTTGGAAAAGGAAAAGTGGCTTTAGTTTGTGTATTTGGTTTTCTGTGAGGGGGTTTTT